GCTGACATTGCAGGCATCACTGCTAACCTCAGTGCAATCCTACAGAAGGTAGAAAACTACCTGTGTGCTCTGTGGTGTGGAAGTTCAAGGGAGAAGAGCTCTGCTACAAGCAGGGCCCATCCTCATGGTCATCAAAGCATTCCAGCTCCTGCCAGAGGCACTTCTTGCACACTTTTGGGTAAAACCTTTGGATTTACAAGCCTGGGAACAAAATATGTGCAAGGGCATTGCCAGAGTCTCAAGAAACTGCCCAATAAGTCCAAGCAAAGAAGCTCAAGCTTGCCCCAAGCTGCTGCATCTCACAGAACTACAGACAACAGTCTGACTTCCACTTTTTGGTTATTCCATGATCCATCCTTACACCAGGAGACCTCGGTCCCCAGGTGAACAGACACCTGGGAGCATGGAGGGTTCTCTTACCTATATCTTGCTCCATTAAGGTTTTGTCTCTGCAGTTCATGATGTGGTCTTTGAGCTTAGCATGAGGGACCAGGTGACGAGCGTTGAAAGGGCATGTGTCCAACGTCTTGGCCACTTCAGGGTTGTTCTAGAACAAGGGAGAACCAAAAGCATGTGAAGCTTTCTCAAGTTCACTCATCTCTTGCTAACCCGTAAGAAAAAACCCAAGGGCATTTGTGATGTTATTGAAAAAACCACAAGCCTAACCAAGAACTTGCAATATGCTGATGAGACACCCACTGAAATCCAAGGGCAAAGGAATGTGTTCTTCCAAACACAATTCCCAGGCACTGAGCTGGGAATCCTTGACTTCCCCCTCCACTTCTCCCTTAACTGAAGCAAAACAGACCCTCAGGTAAACTCCCTCCAGTTCCCTGACTGCTGCTGCACAGCTGCCTGGTTTAAAGCACAACTGAAACCCATGGGGGAGAGATGTTAGGCAAATCTAAACCATTCCAAAGGCAGAGAAATTCCATAAACCTTTCAAAGCAGACAGGGAGTTGGCAGCATTCCACCTGGATTGCTATTCAAGTACAGCTTTAGCCCAGACACAGGTTCCAGTGGCAGAGCTCAGCTGTCACTGAAGTAAATTATCCTCTCCAAGAGAGGGAAACTGGGAAAATCCTGCACCAATGCCTGCCTGGCTGTGTGTGCTGTGCTCACCCGGTGGGCAGCAGGTGAGGGGGAATTCTGCCCCTCTGCTCTGCTCAGGTGAGACACACCTGCAGTGCTGCCTCCAGCTCTGGCCACCAACTGCAGGAGGATGCGGAGCTGCTGCAGCAACTCCAGAGGAGGTCCCAGAGATGCTGCAAGGGCTGGAGAACCTTTGCCATGGAGCCAGTCTGGGAGAACTGGGGGTGTTCACTCTGGAGAAGCTCCAGAGAGACCTCAGAGCCCCTTCCAGTGCCTGAAGGGGCTCCAGGAGAGATAGAGATGGACTTTGGACAAGGCCTGGAGTGACAGAACAAGGGGAAAAGGTTTTAGACTAAATGAGGGTAGATTTAGATGGGATATTGGGAAGGAATTGTTCCCAGTGAGGGTGCTGAGGCACTGGCACAGGTTGTCCAGAGCAGCTGTGGCTGTTTCATCGGAAGTGTTCCAGGCTGGATGGGGCTTGGAGCAACCTGACCTAGTGGACGGTGTCCCTGGGACTGGATGAGCTTAAAGTTCCTTCCAACCCAAATCATCCTTTTATTCCATGACTCTTACACAGTTCAAGCCAAGAGGACCCAAGTGGCTGTGTCTGCAGTGTTCTCTGTGCTGAGCTCTGCAGGCAGCAATGTGAGGCTGAGGCAGGTGGAAGAGTTCACTGGATTTTATGCATGAGGTATACAAAACGGTGTCCCTGGGACTGGATGAGCTTAAAGTTCCTTCCAACCCAAATCATCCTTTTATTCCATGACTCTTACACAGTTCAAGCCAAGAGGACCCAAGTGGCTGTGTCTGCAGTGTTCTCTGTGCTGAGCTCTGCAGGCAGCAATGTGAGGCTGAGGCAGGTGGAAGAGTTCACTGGATTTTATGCATGAGGTATACAAAAGAAACTCAACAAAGTGCCAAGGAAGAGAGACAACTCCAGCCAGACACCAGTAACACACTGTGGCATCTTCAGATGATCAGTGATAATCCCTAAGCCCTTCTCCTGCTAATTACTTACAGACACCATCTGTAACCTCATCTTACTGACTAGGGAATGTGCCCAAACTCTCTGGTCATCAGTTAGGCAAGAGCAGGACAAAACCAGCAGAGCTCAAGTTTGTTGTTCCCCCTGCTCACAGGTCTCAGGGAAAACCCAAAGCTCAGAGAGGTTTACAGAAAACAAATCATGAGGACACCAGAGAAGAAGAGAGGAAGGAGTGATTCCTTTGAAATGATTTGCATTCAAATGCTGGATGAGAGATGGAGAGGGAATAAACCTCTCCCACATGTGCTGAGCTTGATTCCTGCCAGAGGCACATGAAATAGCTATCAGCAAAACAAAACTCCCCAGCACAGCTGTGCAGCTCATTCCAGCTCTGAAGGAATAAACAGCATCACAGCACTTCTGCTCTGAGGGGCCAAGAGAGAACTCAGAGTTCCCTCTCCAACTCTGAGTAGGAAAATGTATCTGACCTCTGTGTGAGCTGCTGGAAGAGGCCAGAATCTCCTCCCCGAACTAACCGTAAAAAATCATAGTATCATCATAGGATGTTAGGGGGTTGGGATGGACCTTAGAGATCATCCAGCCCCAACCCCTGCCCTGGGCAGGGACACCTCCCACCAGAGCAGGTTGCTCAAGGCTTTAGCCAACCTGGCTGTGAACACTGCCAGGGTTGGGGC